AGCTGCGTTGGATCCAGGTCTGCTGCACTGCAGACGGCAAATCCAGCCTGAGAAAGTGGGTGATCTGGAAGGGCGGCAGCAGGAATGGTTCTTGAGGGAATTCTTCTGCATCACGAGCACATGAGATCTCCCGCATGAAGTCCCAAAGCAACCGGTCTCCCAATTGAAGGTGTCTTTGTGCTGATCCACCTCCCAAGAGCGGTGTTGGAAAGGGACATGGCTTCACCTGTCTGCTGACACAGATCTTGATCTCATATGTCACCCCTGGTAGGAGTTGAACCTCTGGATGCATTCGGTAGCCCTGACATGTGATGATCACGTAGTGGCCCCATCCACAAAGAGCATTCTCGGCCTGGATCAATTGCCCAACTGTGATAGGCTCGTTGATCTGAATCACATGAGTGACCTCCTCCTTGACCAACTGCAGTTGAATGTCTCGTGGTTGATACATCTTGGGAGTGATCCATCTGGTGAATGAGTAGGTGCGCAATGCATTCTGCAAGATTTTGATAGCCTGGAGAGGTTCCAAGTCCGTCCATCCCCAGTGGTGAAATTGCAAAGAGGCCAAAATGTGAGATTGCACCCAAAGAACTTGCAAAGGCGCCGCAATTTGACCAAGAAGGCTGAGAGCTGCACGTGGAGGCATAGGAAAATGGAAAGATGGTGGCACTGTGCACAACATGGCCCCCTCCTCAGAATGCAAATGCCGATAGCGACCACTTCTGGCGGAGAGAAGGCCAAATCCACGTGCTCCTCCACTGCGAAGTCGAGCCAAGTTGAATGCTGCCCTACAGCCGCAAGGACATGGTCTATTCACATGGCCCCATGAATGCAAAACTGTTGGAGCCTTGCTCTGCGCACAAAGAAGCCTTTCGTCAGTGCCAAAACTTGGATCCAAATACAAAGCCAACTCACTTGGATCCCATTCCAATTGCTTTTCAACCAGTTCATCCCACATGGCATCAAGTGGCATAATATCTCCAAGTGTTTGGAAATCATGAGTCACTGGCCAACGTGGAATGTCAATGTGCGGCAAATCCTTGTGAGAGAGTCTACACCAGAATCTGTTGCGCCTAACTGGCCATTGGTCCTGAAGGTCAAAGTTGAGTTTCATCACCTTCATGTTGGCGAGAGCTGCAAAGTCGTCAATGCATTGCAGCGCTGATGGAAAATTCACCACATTGGCAACACACTCCAGCAAGATCTCGTCCACTTGGAGCAGCCATGAACTCTGCAAGATGTAGTACAGGCTATGACTTCGGTGGTCATCCATACCATACTGATCACCCTGTCTAGAGAATCCTTGACATGGGAATCCTCCTGTTGCCTGAACATGGCCTGTGCCCTTAAGAGGGTGGATTCTCTTGAGGGTATTAATATCCCCCAGGTCAGCCTGGAGTACTGGACTGCGAAAATTGGATCGCAATGCATCACATGCCAATGGTGATCTTTCAACAAAGGCAGCCGTTTGGATTCCAAGAATGCTAGATCCTATGGAAAAGCCACCCATGCCACTACAAAAGTCCAACAAAGTGATGGTCGCAAATGGATCCTTTGGAGGGTGTGCATGAATCTCAGTGCCCTCTCCCACTGAACAACAATTGCCTTCAGCCTTGACGACATCATACAAGGTATGCAAACCCTCAGAAACTCCATTCGCACCAGAGACACTGAAGACCTGGTGCGGGGAAACTCCAGTGCAAAGCAGCATGCCCTGCTCAGTGTTCTCCACCCATGCCACAATCGAAAAGATGGAACCAGGTTGCAGCTCAGAAACGCGCAAATCCATGTTGTGAGGTACGATCTCCCAGTCTTTTGCTGACGCTCGGTTTCACTCTCTGGAAAGAACTGGGCCGAAAACTACCAGATAATCATATAATAGATGAAGAAATGGACGAATATACTCATTTGTCCAAACCATCCTTCAGAAGGCACTGCACTTCTCTCCAGAACTAGTTTCAGGGAAGATTCTTCACGACCCCCCGTATTTTTTGGGCTTAAACACCATGGCTAAAATTACCCTTAAACAAAGCCACAGAAGATCATATTGGTTGCCTGCCTAATTTAGAGGGTTGAATCAGGTGAAATCAGCTGAAATCATCATAACTCGCGGTTTCTGTTGGTTATATCCACTGTTTTTTTTTGTACTAGACCCTATGCCATAAACCTACCATTTGAGGATGGTAAACATCGCACCCATCATGATTTTGAAGATCAGCGCAGGAGCTTTATAGTGGCACCGTGGACTGCGCGTCTATGGGCTGCAACGGACCCATGCATGGCTGGTCATTTTTAATCCTCCATTTATATCCCACGAAGCCTTCGTTTTCCAGGTGATTCATCACCATCAACCTTGAACTCAAGGGTTTATTCAGACACCAAGGGGACACCAAGGGTCCGGCAGCAAAGGATGCATCCTCCCAGTTCCATATGATTTGGGGAGGTCTTGATCCCACAACTTACGAAATACTCCAGGTAGGATCTGTTGCGGGTTTTGGGGGTCGGGAAACCGCAACGGGATGATGCCAGCTTTCCAAGACCCGGTTTTTCGCCATGGGTTTTTCGCCATGGAAACAGTGGTTTTCCCCCCAGGGCAAGTGGGAACTTCCCACTTTTTCCATTGCTACGGCGCTGATTTCCTGGTTTTCATGGCGCTGAGGATGAAGATGATGAAGACAGAAGGTCCCTCCGCCTTCTTCGCTGGTGCTATCCCTCGCTGCGTGCAGGTGCGACTTTTGGCCACTGTGGCTTCGGAGGTGGTGATGGCAAGCCCGGATTAGCAAAGCCTGGTGATTGGGACAGGCTTTCGATGGGAGGCCTCTCACTTTCTGCCTGTTTCATGATGTTCGGGATGTGGTTCATATTGTGTTCTGTCCAAAATTGGGCACCCCCAAGTCTACTATGCTGGTTTATTTCATATTTTTTCACAATAAACATGACAATCTTTGGGTGCTCTCCATTTTCTGCACAGCCCCTAGCATCACATCTTCAGTGTCGCATGCGCTCTGCTCTGCGAGGTGGGTATGACCAGCGGTATCAGCTTCGCCCTCTTCCCGGTGATCAGTGTCTTGGAAAAAGGTCGATGGCCAGATTGAAGGAGTTGGGGGATCAATCCGATGTTGATGGGGAAGACAAGACATCCAGAAAAAAAGGAGTCTGGTAGCCTAAAGCTCAAATATGTGCATCACAAAAGGTGTCCTGTTCCATTTCTTTTTCATTTAATTTGCGTATGTCCCAATTTTTGCAGCATCCATTTGGGGTTTTCTCAATCACCCAGAGCTATTCCATGGTTGCGAGTCATGGGGAGTTTTATTGGATGACGCCGATGACGCCGTTGACGCCGATGATGCGAGGCAAATTGCTCAACATGGTCATGTGAGATGGTGAAGTGGTGCCCAGTGCCCGGTAGAAATGTGTTGGACCTGTCCGATTTAAGGCAGGTTGCTGGCCATGTCCAAAAGTTGGAAAAGTTAGCTAATAAATACATTCACGGTGCTGGAATCATGGTCTTTTGAACATGTGGTGCAGTTGATTCCATGGCATTTCCCATGGCATTCCATGGTACGAACTCGGTGTTTCCCCACTGTTTGACCCGACGTTTCCGTCCGGCGCTTCAGTGCCCTCCGCAACTGCGACAGACCATGGACCGTGGACCGGGGACCGTGGCAGTGCGGTGTGGCCGTAGCAGGGAAGGACTTTGGATCAGTGCTACCAAGGGGCATTTCAGTTGCCATGGGGCAAGGCATCTCAATAAATGTTTTATGATGCTTTATGTGGTATGAGTATACTTACATATATCATATACATATACATATACATATATATAGATATACACATATAATAATATATATATATAGAACTATATGTGTATCAATGACGAACATGTGTGGGTAGACAGTCTGTTGGCCCTGAGAAAAGCAACCATGTCAATCGATTTATTTCTGCTTGGTTAAACTACCAAGTTGCAGGCAGAATTGACAATATTTGTGAAGATGACACTTATCTTGTGCTAGTATTTTGATTTTGGTTTGAGAAGTGTCGAGCAGCACTTTTTTGCATCTAAAGCCTCATTGGCCGCTGATCCAAAGTCCGACGTTCTCAAAGTTTAAACAGGTGAGCCACTTTATGACAGGTGGCTCATGTCTCACAAAGGTTTTGTCTCCTACCTCTACTCTAGAGCGCTAGACCAAACAAGAGAGTCGCGGAAGAAACAGCTTGAGAAGTGCGGACTTCCAGTTGACATCATGCCATTCTTGGGAAACCGCTATGTCATGACTCACGACAAACATATGGCCTTGATCCCTCCAAGAGCCAGCAGGGGTAGCGATGGCTGGTCTGGGAGATTCGACCAAGAGTGGGTGGCCATGGCTTCTTGAACGAGGGAAATGTAACAAGAACGGAACTGCAGGGGTGTAGAGAGAACGGAACTGCAAGGATTTCTAGGATTTGTTGCGATTTTCTTCGTAGGATGCTTACGCTTGTACGGTCGCTAAAGAAGTCCTTCTGTGATCCAGGACAGACTTTGCAGCAGCCTCCTTTCTTGGCTACCTTGCTCACGACATGGATGTGACCCAAAGTTTAGCTGCCCGCGCAAACAGGTTTCTCCTTCCTGACAGATAATTCCTAAAGTGGACTTGTCCAACCAACTTGAATTTCGCCATCCAACTGATGCTGGTTTCAGTCAAGACTTGTTTGTTTGGGACTCGTCTATGCAGCTTTGGTACAAACAGTGCAGAGGGGCAGAGGTTCATATTGGAACCTGTTGCAAAATCAGGTTTGTGAAAGCGGGTCTTGTTTGTGACCTGTCCATATGTTTTCGCACACTATGTTGGTTGGACATGAATCCAACCAGAGACGTAGCAGTCTTCCACAGTTCAAAAAGCCTTGGCTCTTTTATCTGGGCAGTTTTCGAAGCAAGAGCACCTCCATTTCACACTCCATCAACTTGCGGGGGAAGCCTTGATTCCGTTTGCTCACGATGCCGCTTCCGACGTGAACTGATGGCAAGTGAACCTTTGTTGCCCGAGAAAGGCGCGTGAAATGCTGGAAGAACTCGTGTGGGCAAACAACTTGGTTCATTGGAATCAAAAACGGCTGATCCGGCCTCAGTAACCATACCAAGTCATAAGTTGTCATTTTTTGACACTGTTGAGTTTCTACAGGGTTTTGCACCTTCTGTGAGACATGGCCAGATTTGTTGGCCACACTGGTGCTTAACTACCCATTGTTGCTCCTTAAATACCAATTTTTTGTTGATTGAATACACAATTTTTCTTGATCAAATCCGCAATTTTTAGAGACTTCATTAAACCGAAATCCCAATTTCTGGATTGAATCGTTATTCAGATCCCATTTTTTCTATTTTTTCTTGCATGTTTCCAGATCGCCCCAGTGGGCTAGGCGCGGTGCACGTGGCTGCTCAGCAGGGCGATGTGGCCAAGTTGCGGCAGCTGTCCGGCGACCAGCTGAGAGAGGCCGGTGACAAGTCGGCTGGGGATGTTGGATTATTTGGATTGAATCACTGAAAGTGGTCATTTATGCATGATTTCATCATGAAAAATTGGGATTGAACCATTAAAAAGTGGAGCTTCAGCCATTAAAGATGAGGATTCGACAGCATCAAAGATTGGGCTATTAAAGCATCAAACATGAGGATTTAAGCGGCAAGACATTTAGTCACTAACCCTGGGCATTTCAGCATCAACAATTGACAGAGATCCACTAAAAATTGGGGATGTCACTATCAAACAATGAAGCTTTGACCCTCGAATGGTGGGACGAGCATCGATTTTCCATGATCTTCCTGTCTTTTTGCCGTGAACATTCAGATCTGGATTGGAATGAACGAAAGATTAATGGAATGTATCCAAGAAACAATGGTAAAAACAATCCAAGAAATGGTGTGGAGATCAGGCTATGTCAGCCTCAAAAATGGAGATGCTTCCTTTTTTCTGATGGGGAGAAGGATGACAGACAGTGGAATGGGGTACCCCATTCTCAGACAGTCACAGCTAGGTGGACCTTCGCCGCTCTCTTCGATTGGACAAAGAGACTCCTTGCCCCATTCATCTACTGGATTTCGTGAAATCCGCTCAACTCTGTTAAGAATTTGGCCAAGTATTTTTGGGTCACTACGTTGGTTGAAGGTAAGAAAGAACAGGACCCCCATGGCGAGGTGTTCTGCGGCGCGACCGCCTTACACCTGGCCGCAGCTGCCAACCAACTGCGGGCCATGGATGTGCTGCTAGAGGTCATCGTGGTCGTGGTCGTCTAGAAGATTTGATCCGGTATCATAAAATCTGTGATTTGACATAGCCTCAAATACTACCATACAACAAAAAACGCTGGGTTTTTCTATTCTTGAGGCAAAAACATGGCCTGTTAAGCTTAGTATAAAATCCAAGAAGACCCCCATTTTGTTGGAGATTTAGGATGCTCCCAAATGGTAACATTTGGTATGTTTTGCTATTAGTTTATCATATTACTTCAAGATTTCCCCAATTTTTCTGTGATTCCCCAGGGCATTCAATCCCCAAAATTGTTCCTGTGGAGATGGCACAAGTTTGCAGGAGCACCCATTATGATCCGAGCAACATATGATCTATTCCCACCATATACATCATGTATATTTCATGTATTATGCATCAATCTGACATATATTTCCGCCAAAAGATATGAGCCACGCAGATTTGCCCGAAACATGGGGACCACAGCAATTTACCACGGTTTTATGAGGGTTTAATGAAGCTGACTTTGAGTCCATGAGATTCTTGGGTAGCCTATTTTCAGACAAACCCAATGCGCATTTGTATCCATGTTATTTCTACAATCAGGCACTTTCCCGAAGTCTTTCTTAGCTATGACAAACTACTTGGATTTGTTTGAAGTATCCACATCTATTTTCACCTTTGAATTTAAACCACCAACATTCAATTTACCTACACTATCGATTAGATGAATTGCCCATTCGACTCATTATACCCATAATACAGATACCGTATACCATTGAGATCGGGCAATCTAGTCTGTCTGGCAGGAAAATCACACATTTTACATGCAGAAACCATCAAGGTCAATAAAGGTTCATCCGATGATCATCCCCATTTATGGATCTTACATGTGTGTTTTCTTTCTTTTTCAGAACATCACCACTGTTGTTAACCAAGCTCTACATGTTTTTCAATGGATTTTCCCATGTTTTTCAGCGATGTAAACACCCCGGGGCCCAGGGAAGACCTGGGATTTGGCACTCAGCCAGGTCTTCGCCGTGGACGCCCTGGATCAGCTGGGTCGCACGCCACTGATGCACGCAACCTTCGCCAAAAGCGCCGAGGCAATGGTGTGGTTGGTGCACCGCAAGGCGGCCCTGGAGACGCTTGGTGGTACCATGGGTGGGGGTGGTGGTTGACATCTTGAAACCAAAAATGATGATGGAATGTGATTTTAATGGGATTGAATGGATGTACTTGTTTGGTGATTCCATGGGATCGAATGGTGATTGGTATGGGTTACTGGTTGACATGTTTGATTGTTTGATTAGTGCAGACATGGTTGACAGACTATATATATAATATATATATATAAACATGACTAGACCAACAACAATTGGGATTTGAGCTACAATCATTTGTATATACTGTATGTATATATATATATATACTGTATGTCCGTATGTTTCCACATATTTCCATGTATGGATGCTGGCATGGGTGGGTGGATGGAGTGAACAAAACCCAGAAAAACAGTGGTTAAGAGTTAGGGAAAACATGAGAGAACTTGCATGAAATCAGGAACTTATGAAGATTATATATGGGGAACCGATCCATTTGATGATCATGCGGTTCTGGGAATGAGGATGAACAAAAAACCGGAGAGGTCATTGGATCAAACCGAATGAACATGCTGGAGATTGACCAGCACGAATGGAGATGTTACCCAGAATTTCAAGTTGGTTTGGTGATGTGGACAGGGGTCAAGCTAACATGTACGCAAACACCCATGTTTTTTTTGAGTGTGGGCCTGAGCAGTAACAGTAGGGGATGCGGCTCTGAAAAACATGTGGCCACACTCCTTGTCATCCACCAGTACACACCTGGTTGATGATGATGATGATGATGATGATTATGATGATGCAATATCTCTAGTTGATGTACAAGCCTTGCTAGGGCAGGTTGTGCCAAATCTGTTGGTACTTGGATGTGCATCCAACATACAACCGTGTGATCTGACCCTCATCCAAACAGCTAGCCATCTTGAATCATTTTATCTTGGATGCGACCCATAAACATCATAAACCATCATATGTTAGCTCTTCATTTTTCCTGGTTTATTGCCGCAATCACTGGTTTATTGCCATTAACACTTGCCATCCATTTGGCTTGAAATGGGAAAATCCACTATTAATGGGAAAATCCACTATTAGCTATGGAAAATCACCATTTTTGATGGGAAAATCCACTATTAATGGGAAAATCCACTATTAGCTATGGAAAATCACCATTTTTGATGGGAAAATCCACTATTAATGGGAAAATCCACTATTAGCTATGGAAAATCACCATTTTTGATGGGAAAATCCACTATTAATGGGAAAATCCACTATTAGCTATGGAAAATCACCATTTTTGATGGGAAAATCCACTATTAATGGCCATTTTCAATAGCCATTAATTTCACCCGGCCCAGGACAGCAGACAGCCAGGGGCTCACGGCTCTCCACGTGGCCGCCGCCGCTGGCAGTGCGTCCCTCTGCGCGCTGCTGCTGTGGCTCGAGGCGCCCTTGGGAAAGCGAGACCTGCAGGGACGCACTGCATTAGGCGCGGGGTCGGTGGGGTGGGGTGAATTATGGAAGATGATTGCTGTAATATGCTGTAATATATATATATATACGTATATACGTATGTATGTGTATATATATACACATGTATATGTATATACGTATATATATATATATATGTGTGGGGGGGACCTTTGGGGTATATTTCGTCCGTTCCGTGAGAACTATCATATGTACAATTTACATTCGGTTTATTTACAGGCATGTGCATGACAGCGCCCTGGGAATGTATTAACCATTGCAGATGTACTCGAGGAGGTAAAATACATTGTAAATAGACCTGGTTTCTACTAATAAGTGTTGATTTTGCTGCTGCTAAATTTATGTCCTGAAATCAAGTAAGATGATTAATAATCGAAGTGCTCATTATCTTTTTTCTGCATCTACCTGCCACAGAGAAGTGACGACTAAGTTACCCTACATACTGATTCTCTTGTCGCAGCTTCTGTAACTGCTGTTTCTTCTTGTTCTGTTTGTTTCATGTTTGTTCTGTCCGTTTTCCCCACCTGTCAGGTGCGGGTTGTTAGATTTTATGCTAGCCAGCCCGCCTTCCTCCTTCCTCCTCCTTCCTCCTCCTTCCTCCTCCTTCCTCCTCCGTCGTGCGCCGGACCCCAACAGCAACCTCCGGATCAGAGCGTTCCCCGCCGGACCTCCACCGCAAGCTCCGGATTAGAGCGTTCCCACCTGGACCTCAACCACGAAGAAACTCCGAAGATATAATGCCAGATAGAATGCCAGAAAGAATTTCGGAAGATATTCCAGATACATATGCCAGAAAGGATGTCAGATAGAATGCCAGATAAAGTGCCAGAAGAGATGCCGGAAAGAATGTCGGAATAGATGCCAAATACATTATCAGAAAGAATGCCAGAAATGAAAAGAATGTCAGAATAGATGCCAGAGAGGATGCCAAATAGGACGTCAGAATAGATGCCAAATAGAATGCCAAAAGAATGTCAGAAAGAATGCCAGAATAGAATGTCAGAAAATATATGCTATATATACTATATATATATATTTATAGATGAGATATTACTGAGATATCATTAATTATGACAAAACAATGTCATGCTGGGGATCCCTCGAAGTAAAGTAATTAATTTGTTTTCCCTTGTTTGGTTCCCTCTTCTTATTCCTCTTCCTCGTTCTTGTCCTGTGTTTTCTTCCATGTTCCTCTTCCTTGTTCATTTGTCATATTCCTTCCTCTTGATAATTTCTTTTCCTCTTTTTACTAAAGTTCCTTGTTCTCTTCCTGCTCTTCTTCCTTGTCCTTTTCATGTTTGACTTTGTTCTTTCTCTGCCTCTTCCATGTCCTCTTTTTTTGAGAGCGGGGGACTGGGGGAGTGCGTTTTTTTGTTAGTTTTACAGCAAGTTGTTGGTGCTAATTGTTCATAAACATCAGCATGCCTAATGTCTCTGCCAAAATGTTCATCCAAATGAAGACGCCACCAACCAAAAAAAACAGTAAAAACATGTAAACACTACAATGGCCGATGGGAGGGAGACAATGTGAGAGACTGCCACACCCTAGTAAGATCTAGCAAGCTAAACTATTTTGAAACAGTTGCAAATGCAACCCTTTAATCACCCTTGCAAATTATGAGGCATTCATGTAAAAATATAGTGCTACTTTGGCAGAAGCGATGTCTTCGTTTCACACTATATCTTTCATTCATAAGCTGCATTTTTCGTCCAAGGCAATGCAATACTTCTTTCAAGAAGTAGTATCCCTACGAAATATAGAGGTTTCCCAAAACATGCACTGTTCGTTTCTGTAGAAGTGCAGTCTTCCAAAACATTGTAGCATTAAGTTAAGCATTCAGTATTGCTGTCAAAAAGAGCAATGGTCGATGCACATTGCAGCAATCCTTGGTCGAACTCGATTACTTTTGAAGGAACATACTGCTTCCAGGTTGCAGCCTGCCCTGAAGACAAGACATATATTCCCTTAAATAAATAAACGATATTCTTGAAAGAAAACTGTAATGTGTGGAAAGATGCAGTACATCCTTCAATGGTAAGCCTCATTTTCAGTTTTCTGCATGATATGTGCTTTTAAAGGAAAAACTTCACTTCTTTATATGAAATAATTAATTGCTTTGAAGACAAGATAATCCCTGAAACAAAAAACAATATTCTTGCAGAAATACAATATGTGAACAAATGCAATATGTGCTCAATGAAGTTAAGCCTCGCTCCCATTTTTCTGCATGACATTGGTGTGTAACGTGTTTTTTTTTTAAATAATGGTGCTTGTATTTTTCGGTTGTTTCACTCATATGAAAGGCCATATTTCATACGTTGTAGTCATTACCTGTCTCTTTCTAAAGATATTATAGGTACACTTCTACTTCATAGTAACGTTTTTCTTCATATTATTGCCTGTTTTTCAATCAAATGGTTCACAGCCTTATCAAGGCAACTTTTTAGCATACCCGCACCAACACTTTCTTAAGGAATACAATGATTATTAAGAATAGGTACTCACAAGATTCAATTCTGAAATGCTGCTGTCCTTCTTCCATAGATTCCTTTACCTCTTTAAGAGAACTTTGATAAGCTGTCGCTTTGAACATGACTTGAGATTCCTTTCAAAGAAAAACTACACTACACTCCCTTTTTAAGAGGACTGTGCAAAATGATGCCGCTTTATGCACGTAATGATGTGACTTTATGCAAGACGTGTCATATTCTTTGAACACATATTGCTGCACAAGGCATGTATTGAAGGATTTTGCTTTGAAAAAACATGCTGAAATTTGTTTGCTGATTCTATTTTCAAGTCTTGGCTGTGCTGTATTTCCTCCCATGGTTTCAAGTAACTTTCTGGGAAGGTGTCCAAACCATGAGAAAATCAGCAAACAATGCGCACCTGGATGATGTCCATGAGGTGCGGCTGAGCAGACATGGACAATGGCTCCTGTCCTTTGGTAATATTAGTAAAAACGTCCATAAAACCAAACAAAAACTAAACCAAAAAACAACCCTATGACCCTATGTCCAAACCACTCATGGACCTCCATTGCCTTCTTTTGTTTTGTCTTTTGACAAGTTGGGGCAGAAGTTGCAAAAGGCCTGGAGAGAACAAAACACACACACACAAAGAAAAAATCAAGACTCAAAACAGAAAAAACACTCAACGGGGGTCCATAAGTGGCTGGGACACAGTTTTTTTTTGGTGTGTGTGTTTAATATAGGATAAGGTTTCACAAGTTAATTCATGTGTGATTGGTGATTAGAATTAAATATTTTGAGGTTTTGAAACTAAGTCATGTATGCAGAAAGTAGCACTCCCACAGTCCCCTGTTCTGTTTTTGTTTGCCGGTCCATTTCCGAGACTGATGTGGCACTCCAACCGTGCCAAAAAGAACTCCTTCATGTCATGATTCATGTCCGATTCAAGCTGAACAAAGTTTATACAATGTCTATAAAACCGCTTCCTTCCTGACCTCCTTCTTGTTCTTCCGCCTTTTCACTTTTTGTCCGCTCCTTTTCCTTCGTCCTTTCGCTCTTCCTTTTCATGTTCATCATTTTTTTCTTCTACTCCCTTTGCCTTTGTCCCCTTCATTTCACAATGTTCCTCTTTTTGTGGCTCTTCCGTGCCTCTTGGACTTTTGCCTTTCCACCTTTTTCGAAGACTTACAAGACCTCCAGCAGTCCCAAAAGAGATTTTCAATGATTTTCATGTACGATACACACTATACATAGTATCAACTCGACCTCGTCCCTGTCCAAAATTGAAAAGGCGGAACAATCCCGGGCCCCTTCATGTAGGATACAGGATACGTGCCTTATACTTGAGAGAACAGGATACGTGCCAGCTTGCACCTTCGTCCTATGTTGTTGTGTGTTTTTCACCTTGCACTTGTTTCCGTGTTCATCTTCCGTCTCTTCTTTGTTATTCTATCCCTTGTTCTTTCTTCCTCTTTGTTTCATGTTTTTTCTCTTCCCTGTCTTACTCTAC